GTGGTAACGACCATTAATAAAGTACTACTGACAATGCTTTCCTGGTGCCTCCCTCCCTTTGCTCATCTATCATTGATGTGTTTTCTTCCACAGCTCCCACCATCTGGAGAAGCCCAAAGAAGCTGAGTGAATGAGGACAGGGAATGCTGAACCTTAATGGGAGGGTGGAAAAAAAACCCAAACCAACAACCCAACAACCAATCCTTTGTCTATCACACAAATAAGTAACCATGAGGAAGAAGAGTAGAAATATTTAATGAGGCATAATTTGAGTTGAATACACTAAAACAATTTCCATTACGCATTACAGACATGGAAATTTCACTGCAAAAGGGAAGTTGATAATTTTGCTTGACAAAGGATTTTCATCTAAGTGTTCAAAGGTCAGCACACACGTGCTTGCCTGCCAGAGTAGAGTCCTATTTTGGAAGATGTAGGCTAAGGAAAAGTTACTTCTGCAAAAATCAACAAATGGTTTCAGCTCTCAGATCCAGTCCTATCTCATGGGCAACTTCCTGCCAAACGCTGATATCATCTTGGATTAAAAAAATAAATACGGCCAATTTTGTTCCAGTCAGCAAGCCTTTGGATGGAGTCAGAAATGCTGTCAGCTAAGGAGAGTCAACCTCCCTCTCACAGAAACCAGTCGATACAAAAAGTTGAAAGGAATGCAAAGAATAAACCTTATTATTTCTAATGATAAACCAAATCCAGTTTTACCAGACAGCACTACTTGAACAGCAAGCTAAGATACTTGGAGACTGCTACATTAATTCTTCCTATTCTTGTATATCACAATGGAACTACGAGCAAAATGCACATGAGATACTCCAAGATAAGTTTTGCTTTAGGAGCTGTTAAGCAGGAAAATGAGCTGACTCAACTGCATTTTACTTTCCATGTAGAAAGAACGGTGCAAAAGCAGAAGTTTCCACTCAGGAAGCAAACGAAACAACATAACCTTACATAACACCCATTGTAAAAAAAGTCTGATCCCATCCCATGTTGACAGTGAAAAGCTGATCCTCACTAAGGACCACAGTGGTGTTATGACTAGTCAGCCCTTTTAGAAATTCTCCAAACACAGCTACAGAGCCCTGTATAACAAATTTAAAGCTGCTGAAGGCCAAGGACCTGTTGTGTCTAAAGCCGCTTAAGGCCAATCTGTGCTTTCACAGGTTGAAAACATCACTCAGAATAACTGAAAGGATCATCTGAGAGAAAGATCCCTGGTTCACTTCTCCTAACGGGTAGCAAAGTTTGCTGAAGGTATCAGTTATGCCAGGTAGTCAAAACAAAGACCAGAAAAACTCTTGTGCCAACAGCCACCCCAACAAAGAATAAAAAACTCTGATGGATTATCAATACATATGCAGAGCACCTTTATCCTACTTCTCATGCAACTGTTGGTCACAGGACACGGGCTGGAAGTCCCTGCTGCCTGAATCAGTACAATGTTGATTACAGCACGACCAAAGTCTCGAGGAGAAAAGTCAAAGGCCCATTTCCCAACCTCCAAGCAATCTCCAAGGATGGAGCCTTGCAGGCATGTTCTGCATGACACAGAACAGAAGGGAACCTGCAAAGTACCACACAAAGTGTCTCGTGCAGAATGGCAAAGTAACTACAACTCATTACTGACTTACTTCTATAATAACAACTCTGAGGAGAAGTAAAACAAATATTCTACAATAAAACAGCATTTCCATCTCTCCCTCCTACTTTATTTTTTTCCTTTTGGAAAAAATTCCCATTGGTCTGAAGTGTTGTAGTTTAATCTTGGTTAAACTACTAAAGAACAGAAGTGGGACATTATAAGGAAGTTATCTAGTACTACGATGTTGACCCTTCCATCATGGCAACAAAGTTTGTTTCTATTTCTGGATGTAGAATCCAGGAAAAAAGTTGAAACTGTGAAAAACTTAACCCCATATAGTTAAAAAACCCTCTAAATGACTCACCTCACTCAAAACCAGCATGTAAGTACATAAGATTAAACTTTGATAAAATCTGATGTCAACACATCTCGATCACACACCTTCTCAGACTTCTGCAGTTAAACTAAGCCTGATCTTGTCAACAGAGAGACCAGAGGAGAACTAAGGGACACAATATCACACATACTAATTAAAATCATTGTTAATTGAACACACATCATAAGCACCACCATACTGCAGAACCCACTTCATGGAGAACACACAAACAAAGCAGCCTGGCAGCTCACAGTCCAGGAAAACTCAGTGTACTCAGTGAGGAATACTGATCTGGCAGGGCAGCCTGTTTGGGGCCAGCATTGCACCCCTCCACACCATGTTAGCTTCGCTTTATCAGCCAAGGGAAAAACCAGAATTGTTGAAAATGGCATCCCCTCAGCCCATCAGAGGGACAGTTACGACTGTAAGACCGAGCAGTGTTGAGAAACCTCCATGCACTCACCGAAAGCTAAAGGGAATGTGAGCACATCTTCAAGAGCAAACAGGTTAGATCCACATGACTGACCCAAAAGCAATATATGCAACACATGAGGAAGGCTGAAAAAACCCCAAGTATTTTTATTCCAGCTACGTCAGCACTTCATGAACAGTTTCACTATTTCCTGCATTGTCGACTCCCCTCTTTGGAGGCCCTTTGCTGCAAAATGAAAAGGGACTGGAGGAAACCAAGGACAAGAAGGAAAATGGACCTGTGAAATCACGAGTACTACCTATGGAATTAGAAGTTTGCCTCAGCTCTCAGTAAGTTTCTTCAAGCTGATTCGTTTTGAAAATAAGGCCCTTGTGAAAGCAAACAAAAAGGAAGGAAATGAGAGCAAATCCTATATTTACTGAAAAAGGTAAGAAAAAACAGCATCATGTTCACAATCCTCAAGACTTCAAAGTGAATCAGTGAGACAAAAAAATCTCAAGGTGCTACAGCAGTTCAAGAAACATCAAGAAAATCGTTGGAAGACAGACACACCCATTCATGTGAGCTCTCTCTTTAGAAGCATAAAGAGATATTTTCTATTAAGCACAGTAGGCTTTTTTTAGATGATACAGCATTTATAAATGTTTATTAAGCCTTTTATTCTACAACAGGTAGAGCAAAATACCTGTTAAGGTAAAATACTACTCAGGCCTTAATTAGCTGGTGTTACTGAATACAGCATTTTGAAAACGGTTGCAAAGAGAAAAGAAATATGCCAGAAAAATGCAGAAAAACTGTTCTTAAAGCATTAGAAATGCCAGCCACACCTCATTTAGTCAATCACATCGGCCTAAATAAAAATTATCTCTTCCTTGTGCACCAAGTTCAGCACAATAAAATGTCTGAAGAGGACAGGGCATTGGGGTAACATAAAACAAGTCACATGCTATTCCACTTCATCTTTAAATCCACTTCCTTTCAATAAAAACTCTACTCATTCTCTCAGTGTTATTTTTCAAAGCCAGCATTAGTTTTGCCCTCCTAAACATGAGCAACCTCCACCGTAGTTCACCCCTTCATCCCAAAACCAGTAGACTTCACTTGAAAAGTGGCCTCAGCTACAAGTAACTACCCATAAATCTCAAGTCTTGCCAGACCAAGATTTCAATTCATCTCGGTGAAGACCTTGAAAATTTTGCTTATGTTTATTTCCGCAGAAATGTATTTTAAAACTGACAGAGATACAAGTCACAACAGTCTGCTTTGATATGTCACATCTCGTTTTCATTAAAAAAGGTTAGTGCACCTTCGGAAACGCCTTTTCACAACCAAATTTACCCAACAAAACCCAACTTTTGTGGAGGAGGTTGATCCAGCTAGTTACTAAGGAGCTTCTAAGTTAAGACGACTCAGGAGCTCAAAGGGAACTCCTCCAAATCTCACAGGCATGACCTCCGTGTCCAGGAGCGCACACACAGACACACAGACACAGACACACAGACACAGACACACACACACACACACAGACAGACACAGACACACACAGACAGACACAGACACACACACACACAGACAGACACACACACACACAGACACAGACACACACACAGACACACACACACACACACACAGACACACACAGACACAGACACACAGACACACAGACACACAGACACACACAGACACACACAGACACACACACACACACACACGCGTTTGGAGGAGCCGGGGGGAGAAGGGCAGTCAAACTCCCAGCCCAGGGCGGGTCGGGCGCTGTCACTGCGCAGCACAGCCCGCAGCGAGCCCGAGCCGCCCCAGCGCTCCCACTTTCGGAAGGTTTGCACCCAAATACGAGCCGCCCGATAAGCAGAGGGCACGAAACCCTGCCCTCCGTGAGCCCCGGGCAGCGCTCGCACCGCGGGCCCCGCTCGCTCGGCGGGCCCGGGCCCAAACAACTGTTGCTGCCGCGGGGGGAGCGGCCCCACCGGCCGGGCCGCGGCCCCGGACAAACCCCCCGAGGGCGGTCGGGCCGCGGCCCCGGGACAGGGACAAACCCCCCGGGTCTGGCTGGGCCGCGGCCCCGGGACAGGGACAAAACCCCGAGTGCGGCCGGGCCGGGCCGGGCCGGGCCGGGCCCCCGCTCCCCCTCAGCGCGGGGCCCTCACGGCCGCGGGGCTCCCGCCCACGGAGCGGCCCCAGCGCGGCCGCGGCGACACGGGCGGTGCCCCCCGCCCTTCCCTCTCCCTCCCCGCTCGGCCCCGGGCACGACCCCTTCTGTCCCCGCGGGGATGGCGGCGGCCCCTCACCGATGGTGGAGATGAAGGTGGTGTTGAAGGCGTCCTCGCTGAAGCGGAACAGGAGGCAGGTCTTGCCCACGCCCGAGTCCCCGATCAGCAGCAGCTTGAACAGATAGTCGTAGGTCTTCGCCATCTTCGCCCGGGGCTCGCTCGCCGCCGCTGCAGGAGGGGGCGAACGCGGGAGGAGGGAAGGAAGGAGGGACTCCGGGGCGGAGGGAGGAGGGAAGGAGCGAGGGAGGCGCCGCCCGCGCACGGGAAGCGGCAGCGCCGCGTCAGCGAGCGCCGGAACCGCCGGGCCCGCCGGGGGATGTGGTTCTGGGCCCCGCGCAGCCGGGGCCGCTCACCGGCCGGATTCCTCTGGGGACCAGCAAGAGTCACGGCGTTCTGTGTCCAAGCGGCACGTTAAACAGCGGCACCACACTGCGGGTCACCAGTGTGTGACCTCACGTGCTCACGCCTTGCCTCGGGCACGGCAAGTCAGGGAGAAACTGTTGTGCACAGCACAGAACAACTGTGCTCACGAGTGCTGTAGAACGGCGTGTCTGATCTAGAGCAGCACCGACAGGGTGGGTGTTGTAGAACAAGGAGCTCTGGAGCAGCACTGACAGGGTGGGTGTTGTAGAACAAGGCAGCTATCAGTAGGACAAGAGGGCTCGGTCTTAAGCTGTGCCAGGCGAGGTTTAGGTTGAATATTATGGAAAAATTTTTTACAGAGAGAGTGCTCAGCCATTGGAATGGGCTGCCCAGGGAAGTGGTGGAGTCACCATCCCTGGAGGTGTTTAAGGTGACACTGGATGTGGCATCAGTGCCATGGGCTGGGAACCACAGCAGGGTTGGATCAAGGGTTGGACTTGATGATCTCAGAGGCCTTTTCCAACCCGGTCGATTCTATGATTCTGTGATTCTAAGGTGTCTGCTCAAGAGCAGCACCGACAATGTGGGTGTTGTACAACAAGGAGCTCTAGAGCAGCACTGTCAGCGTGGGTGTTCTAGAACAAGGTGTCTAGAATGGTTCAATAAACACTTTCCCCCATCTTGGTTTTCCCCCCCACACACTAATAATTATCCCTTGGTGTGAGGCAGCCTCGCTACACATTCATTATGCTGTGTTCCCCACGGGATGTCACGAGGTGCTATAAAAATAAATAGTGCCACTGAAGCAGTTCAAAATGACAACAAAGAGCTACTACTTTAATTTAATTTAAATATTGTAGCCTTTAGAGAAGCTATAAACAGAACTCTCTAACGCTATAAATAACTATGGCAGTTCTCAGTTCCCTCTTAGGAAAACAAAGGAAGAAGAGATGTTTTCCCCAAATCATTCATTAAAGGATTGTCATGCTGCAATGTTCCCTTTCCAGCTCCCTCCAGGTTTGCCCTGAGCTCCATGCAGGAATGGCCCTGTGGCACCACCTGCCCAGGCACCCTCCAGCAAGTCCCTGGGGTGAAATAGGGCTAAACTGGTCCAATGCCTGGCTACTGCTGTATTTGTGCAAAGGATTCTGAGGAATCACTCTGGATAAATACCTTCAGCTGTTATAAACCTTGAATAAGCAGAAGCTGTTGTGCTTCTAATTATTCCAAATCTTCCCTGGTAAGGGTCTCATTTTGGTGGTATTCCTGGCCAATATATGTTTGTGGCAGCAAATCATCAAAAATCCAATGGCAGATGTGATGTAAAACTCTGTACAAGATGAATTCAGTAGGAGCTATGAATGCTAATCTATATTCCAATTAATTGGTCCGAAATCTAATTTTATATTTATACATTAATATGCTGTGTTCTAACAGAGGATAATCAAGGCTGCAAAACAAGGATGGGGGGAATTGCCAGTTCCTTTTTCTTCTTTCTTTTTTTTTTAACACACTTGAGGATCTCTGCCCAGTCCAGGACAGAATTTGGAAACCTGGCTGCTTGGTCCATATTTGGACTGTATAATTAGCAGTCAGGCTGTTTAGATGTTGAGTTGTTACAGTACTTATTACAAGATTTGAGTTTATAAACGATAATGGCAACTTGGCACTGAAGCAGTCAAAGCAAATTGGTTAATTATATCAGTCTAACATGAATAATTGGATTATAGGAAACTGCAAGTGAAAAATTAATCTCTGAAACATTTCCCTGTAGCTGCACTTTCAGAGACATGAGTTGCTGTGTACTGTAATTATGGCCACGCTGAACGTTACTACACAAACATATTTCAGCTTTGAAGAGAGAAATTTCGGGGTTAATTTTCACTCTTGAGTTTTATGGAACACACAGGCTCTCCTACGTCTCTGGAGCAATATGTTTGCCATCGCCATCTGTTACTCAGGAGGATTTTTATAGAGAAATAATGCAAATTACTTCCCTCTTCAATTACGCTGGTGCTTTGCAATACTGCGTTCTGTTGTGACCTGGAAAAGTGCCAGCTTGCCAGATTCAAGGGACAGATGTTTACTTAACCATGAACTTTAAAAACATGATGTAAAAATTAGGAGTTACATTTTCTGATTTTCCAGAACTGTAATTGTACAACTGTGTACCTTGCAATGGGTCAGTAAAACTTTGAGGAGTACTGTCAGAGCTGTTAAGGTTCAATAACCACACCACTATGAGACCTGTTCCATGAAAACACTTTGGAGTCTTTGCTATTGCACCGAAATGGAAAAGTGAACATTTGGTTTATATTGCATTACAGTCAACAACAATTCATTTTTTTATGGCACAGCAGAACCACTGAGGGGAACACTGAATATGCAGGAAATAGAAAGTGTTTGAAACTATGGTTCACCTGCTGCCTCTGTGTAAAAGCAGGTGGGATTGCAACAGTTTGATCCTGTTTCATACATTTCAAAGAAGCAGAATTTTAAAATCCTTTAGAACCCTTAAATGAGTACCCTAACAGTTTGCCTGAATAGAATCATAGAATCATTAAGGTTGGAAAAGCCCTCCCAGCCCATGGATCCCCCCTGTGCCCGATGCCCACCTTGTCCCCCAGCCCAGAGCACTCAGTGCCACAGCCAGACCTTCCTGGGACACCTCCAGGGATGGGCACTCCAAACCTCCCTGGGCAGCCCCTGCCAAGGCCTGACCACCCTTCCTATGGAGAAATTCCTCCTGATGTCCAACCTGACCCTCCCCTGGCACAGCTGGAGGCCGTTCCCTCTCATCCTGTCCCTTGTTCCCTGGGAGCAGAGCCCGACCCCCCCTGGCTCCCCCCTCCTGTCAGGGAGCTGCAGAGTGAGAAGGTCTCTCCTGAGCCTTCTGTTCTCCAGGCTAAGCCCCCCCAGCTCCCTCAGCTGCTCCAGACCCTTCCCAGCTCCGTTCCCTTCTCTGGACCTGCTCCAGCCCCTCAATGTCCCTCCTGAGCTGAGGGGCCCAGAACTGCCCCAGCACTGGAGGTGCAGCCCCAGCAGTGCCAGCACAGGGAGGGCACTGCCCTTGTCCTGCTGCCACAGCAGTGCTGGCACAGCCCAGGTACCTTTGGCCTCTTCCCCCCTGGGCACACCCAGCTCGTGTCCAGCCACTGTCACCAGCACCCCCAGGGCCTTTCCCAGCTTTCCAGCCCCTCTGCCCCAGCCTGGAGCTGCAGGAGGTTGTGGTGACCCAAGGGCAGGACCTGGCACTTGGCCTTGTTGAACCTCATACAACTGCCCTCAGCCCATGGATCCAGCCTGGCCAGATCCCTCTGCAGAGCCTTCCTGCCTTCCAACAGATCCTCAGTGTCATCTGTGAACTCACTGAGTTGTCCAGATCATCAATAAAGATATGAAGCAGGACTGGGCCCAGTCCTGAGCCCTGGGGAACACCACTAGTGGCTGGTCCCAGCTGGATGTGGCACCATTCCACCACTCTCTGGGCCTGGCCATCCAGACAGTTTTTAACCCAGCCAAGAGTGCACCTGTTCAGCTGCAGCTTCTCCAGGAGAATCCCGTGGCAGACAGTATGGAAGGCTTTACTGAAGTCCAGGAAGACCCATCCACAGCCTTTCCCTCGCTCACTAGATGGGTCACCTGCCATAAAGAGAGATCAGTGCCACAGTTCAAACTCATCCAATACAGAGGTGAGTCCTAACCAAGATATGGCAGAATTTCATTAGTCACTGAGGTGTATGTAAAGTCCATCTGCTAAAGCCCTCAGTTTAAGAAAGGAACTGATATGAATAACAAAATTTAATTACTGCCTCTATTCATATGCAATAAATTCAAAAATCTCTACATACACATTAAGAAAAACAGAAAATACTCGTTTATAAACACCTACATTTCTAAGGAAAAACCCAAACTGATTACATTGTTACTTCATTCCTACTCTCATTTTCAGTTTCTCAACTGATAGACATCATCACTTCTACCTTTCAAAAATCCTTTTTCCCCTCTCAGATCAAAGGTGAGACTGGTTAAGCAAAAAGAGGTATGTGTCAAGGTCTTGTCTTTAATCAAGCTCTTATATTCAATGCATACAAAATTGTAGGAAATTCTGCATCTTAATTGTTTAAGTACAAGGCTTAAGAAAACCCAATAAGAGTTTAAAACACGTTGGTAGAACTAAGAGCCTGTTATTTTGGCACTAAGGGATAATCTCAAGAGGCAGTCTTGCCCTGAGTGCCACCTAACCACAAATGATTAACATGAGCTTTGCTCCTTAGCTTTTGGACTCTGCTAGCTGATATCATAATATTTCTGATGCATATCTATAACAACTCTGACTTTGGCAGGTGCCTCTGCAATTCATTACTGTTTGATGGCCATCATGTGACTCTCCCTTAAAAAAAGTGTCCCTTATTCCCCAGTTCCAGTAAATACATCTTTCACTGCAGGTAGATACTTCTATGCTCATTTTATACTTTGTCCCACTGCATTTGATATGTTGATATGTCCTGCTTTTAAGTCTGGTTTTAAGAAGATCTATGCATTGGTTTAATATACAAAGAACAGTGCTCTCCTTCACTCTACTGATCTAAATGTATGGATTTTCCACATGAATATACTGCAGAACTTTATAGAGAAGAGGTTAAATCAAGTCGTTATTGAGAAAGGAAATTACATAAACTATGTACAGTTCAATTCCAGAAAGAAGAAGCACTGTTAGACTCTTATCTGTAAAATCCATTGATTTCAAGGTTTGAAATCACTATGATTACAGTAGTGCTAGAAGTGGACTTTCATCAAGTTCCAGTGTTAATCTGAACTATCTCAGCATAAGCAAATTATTACAGGCCACAGTTTACACCACTAGTTTATAATCAATTAAAATTATAACTCCTAATCCTGCAGTCCAGGCAAACCCACAGGCTGCATTCTGGATCAAACACACCACTTGAAGTGAACCTGCTAATTCTGAGTGCAGCTTAGAGGTGGTTAGAGCGTGGAAATCTAACCGGTCTTAATGACAGGACTGCAGAGACACCCATCCACATTTCAGTACTCTAGACAGCCACTACAAGCATTATTAGAGTGAATTTGTTTGTATTAAATCATTCATTACACACTGACTCAGTGACCACAGTCAGTTCATAGGAGGGTTTGCAGTAAACCCCCCCCAAAACCTGAGTTCTCACCACGTCAGACAGCAAATCCTGAGGCCCCACCCAAACCCAGCTGCAGGAGGGCACAAATGGGGCAGAACAGAGTGGCACCGGGGTCAGCAGGTGCTGGGCACAGCGAGGGCTTGTGCTGTACAGCCCAGCAGGAGCCCCCCCCACGCACGTCCCCAGAGACACCAATTCGGCTTCCAAACAGCGAGGGAGTGACACTCCCAGCGCGGAAAACCCCAACTGTCAGTAGGGTGTTTTCAAACATCTCCAGATCAGCTTGGGGAACGTTTCTGTTGTCATTCTGGCAGACACATAACATTTCTTGCTCTTTTCTCTGAAAGGAGATCAAAGCCTTTGCTTGCTGGGAGAAGGCTGGAAAGAGGAAGTCATTCTCTTGGACCCAAATCTCTCTGTCTCAGTAGGCCACACCACAGTTGTACAGACAGCATTTCTCTCCTTCCCTCACAGCTTAAACTCAGTGCTGCATTTCTGATTTCTAAAGAGTAAACTTCAAAAAAAATCTTCAGTTGTAAAAGACTGAAGGTAATGCATTAGAATTGACTCATTCAGCAGGTCACTGAACTACAGGCAGTCACGAAAAGGAAATGAATCTCCAAGCAAAACCAAAATAGAGAACCAAACAGAGGAATGTGTCCAAAACACATCCTGTTTTCAGATCATCCTGTGTGCCCCTGCTTCCACAGAAACCAATTTTTAATGTGACTCTTAAAGTCCTCCTCAGGCACCAGAAGCTCCTTGCAGAAAAGACATTTAAGAAGGGAAGGCCAGGAGGAAGAGGTGAAGAAGGGTGGCATATCAGTTCTGTTTTATTGTTGATGGTGCTTTATGCATTGTGAAGGTATTTTCTTAAACTAGAAAAACCTCATTCTCCTTCAGATACCAACTCAGCAGCCTTAATAGATTGTCCCCTTTCCATTGTGCTTGCAGATAAATAAGATACATTTGAAAAGGACTGTAATGTAGTAGGGACAGCTAAGACTCAAGAACTGACTGTGCTGGTAACTGGTTTATGTTCTGGCTTCACAGGACAGCATGCAGAGGAAAGTATGAGTCAGAGCCTTTCCTATTAAATTCCTCATGATACAACAAGAAATACTTCCAAAATACCTCTATCTGTGTGTCATCACCACCCCAGCACATAAGGCAAAAATGCTAACGCAGCATTACCGTGTTACAAGGCAATGGCTGTGACGGGGAGAGAGGAAAAGCAATAGAATGCCTGGGGGTACTAAACACATGGGGCTGTTCTGGCAGAATAACGCAGGGCTTTGGGGTGCACAGTGTTGTGAAAGCTGTGTAGTGTCAGCATCGGGCACAGGCCCTCCCAGCTTTGAGATACTGTTGTCAGAAAGATATGCCTCTCTAAAACTTCCATCCTCACTTGTGCTCATAGCAACTTCTCAAGTAACTTTTGCTAAGTGCATCGGTTCGCTCTTCAGAAAGGCCTTGGCTCGACACGCCCCCGCCGGACGTTTGGGAAGACTTTTCATACCAAGCGATTTTCGTAAGGTCTGTTGTGCCACCAGGAGGACTTCTACTGAACTACACTTTTAAATGTTCCAGGCCTGATTAAATACTACGGTTTGACAGATTATACTTGTGATTATTTTTACTGACTTATGAAAAACCCCCATTTTTTAAAATTTCCACTATCTGCAGTATTTTCATTTCTCATAGGTTCTCTAAATCGATTTAAATACAGGAGTGACAACTAACAGAAATTCTGCCTTTTTCTTTTTGTCTGGGATGGGAAACTGCAAAAGAATATGCACATAGGTAAAACTTCGTGGAACTTGTCACTTAGTATGAAATGACGTGTCCAGTTCTGGGCTCCTCAGAACAAGGGAGACATGGAGCTACTGGAGAGGGTCCAGCAGAGGCCACAAAGATGATTTGGGGTCTGGAGCATCTCTGATGAGGAGAGACTGCTGGAGCTGGGCCTGGTTAGCGAGAGAACAGTGAGAGGGGATCTCATTAATGCATATAAGTATCTCCAAGAGTTGTCAAGAGGATGGTGCCAAACTCTTTTCTGTGGTACCCAGAGACAGGATGAAGAGCAATGACCATAAACTAAAACACAAGAAGTTTCACATCAACGTAAGGAAGAACTTCTTTACACTGAGGGTGGCAGAGCCTGGAACATCTGCCCGGGGAGGCCGTGGAGTCTCCTCTCTGGGGACATTCAAACCCACCTGGACGTGTCCCTGTGTACCCGCTCCAGGTGCCCCTGCCCGGGCAGGGGGTGGGACTGGGGGATCTGCAGAGGTCCCTTCCGACGCCAACAATCCTGTAATTCTGTGACCCGCAGGCGATAATTTCGCCAGCACCTAACGCAGAAACGGAGAGAGTCCCGCGTTCCCAGAGTGAGTCCCGCGTTCCCGCAGTCCCGCTGTCCCGCGTTCCCGGTGTCCCGCGTTCCCGGAGTCCCGCGTTCCCGCTGTCCCGCGTTCCCGTTGTCCCGCGTTCCCGGTGTCCCGCGTTCCCGGAGTCCCGCGTTCCCGCTGTCCCGCGGGCAGTCCAAGGCGGGCTCCGAGCCCGGCGCGGCCCCGCCGGCGGAAGGGGCGGCGCGGGGCGGGCGCTGTGGAGGGAGCGCGGCGGAGATGCCGGTGCGGGGCTTGTTTACGGCGGGGTCAGCGGGGATTGCCGCGGGTACCGCGCCGGGGGCACCGCGGGGCAGGAGCCGGGCCGGAGGTCATTAAGGGAGCGGGGCGGCCGCGCCCGGCCCCGGCCCCGCTGTGCGGCCCCGCAGCCGCCGGGGCAGCCCCGGGGCGGGCTCGCTGTCCGTGCGGGCCGAGCCCCGGGTAACGCTGGGCCCTTCTCCTCTCGCCCCACCCAGCTGGCCAAGGACCTCGTGCATCCCTCCCTGGAGGACGAGAAGAGAAAGCACAAAAAGAAGCGTCTTGTGCAGAGCCCCAACTCCTACTTCATGGATGTGAAATGTCCGGGTAAGTATTTAAAATGTTTACGCCTTGCAGAGGGAGCGAAACTAATTTTGAGTGCTGTTCATCCTCATAAAACAGCTGCTTATTATATATATGTATTATATATCTTATATACGTTTTTAATTTTTTTTAATTTAAATTTGGTTTATTTGTTCTATAGAGATAAAGCTTTGTGTATTGCTTTGGGATTTTTTAACAATAGAAGTGTTTTCAACCTTTTTCAAAAGTTAATGTAAACAATGAGCTTTTTTATTTTTTCTGGAGGTCTGGCGTGAGGTTTTTCTTGTTTGTTTTTTTTCCTTTAGGAAACCCTTACAAGTAAGGAAAAAACCAACCCCCTGGATTTGCATGTATAAAAAGTGAGATTAAATGGGTGCCTTAGAGCATCCGCAGCACAAGTTTCAAGTAGAAGACAGCATTAAAGATTAAATCCTTTACAAGTTTTCTCTCTCCAAAAATTCCTCTTGGCTAATTAGAAGTACTTTTCAGGGGGAAAAATTGAAAAGCAGTGAAAATCCCTTTTTTTAAGCCATGTACAAGTGATTTCATTCTTTCTTAAGTCATGGAATTTGTAAGTTGTAGACAAAAGCGTTACATGAGGAATTAGTGAAGTTCCTCTGTGCAAGTCTTCTGATTTAAATGTCATGTTGGCTTTACAGAATGCAAGCCAGCACCTGCCTTACCGGTACCAATGATTAAACAGAAAACAAACACAGGTTGGAACAGCAGTGTTTGCATTCACAGCTGCCAGACTTTGTCAACATCGGCGTTCTCCTGTTACAAGTTAAATATTTCTCTGGGTAGAAGTGGTTTTTTTGTGTTCAGCTGAGAATGCTAATCCAGAACTGCTCCACTTCTTTGCAGGACGCATGTTACAGGCAAATTAGGCCTTGTCAGCCTTCAGGCTGTGTTGATTTTCGGATGGGGAGTCCCAAGTTTCAGTTTCTGTGCTCTCCTGTGCACGGAAGGAGAAGCGGGTCCTTCAGCCCACGACCGTGAGCGGCTTCGTTCGACGCGGTGTGCTGTGCACTGAAACATAGGTGCATTTTTGGGCAGGTGTACTTGGAGTGTCTGACTGACACAATAAAACCATGCTAGAAATACCCCGTGGAAAGTTCAATAATGCTGTTTTCCAGGATGCTACAAGATCACCACCGTGTTCAGCCACGCTCAGACAGTAGTTCTGTGTGTAGGGTGCTCAACTGTGCTGTGTCAGCCTACTGGGGGCAAAGCCAGGCTCACAGAAGGTAAGGGGCAACACTAGACTGCCTAAATATTCCACTTATATAAATGCATTTTATGGCCTGAGAATATTTTAGCTTTGATTCTGGAAACTGCTACTGGGACACTTTGCTAATGGCTTGGAGTTGGCCAGTAAATACATTGTTAATGGACCCCGAACTGGGAATTTTTCTTCAGATTCTTGTTTTTAAAAGGCAGCTAAGCAGCTACAATGTCATCAAACACATTTCATTTTAGGTGCCTTGACTTGTCATTTCCTTCAGCTTATGTAATAAAAGCTGCTGTTTAATTCTGAGCTATGTTTAGAGTGTTCAAAAGCACCACTGAAGGAGGAGGGTGCTTTTGGCAGCCTGAAGTGATTGTGTGCCACTGCTACTCTGGGTGGCTTGCCTGCTTGTTTTTAAACAGTAGTACTTAAGGCAGTTCCCTGGCTCACATTCCTTAATAAAAAATTGGTTTGTATAAATTATAAGGGAACAAATAACCACTGATAATTATATACAGATAACTGGTATAACACCAGTATCTTGAAATGTACTGGAATCACTTCAGGGTTTAAAAAAAAAAATTAAAAACCAAATCCAGATTTCATTCATTTTTTGTTTAAAGGACAAAAGGTAAACATATATACAAATTACATATAGGGGGTGCTTATACCATGGGCTACTACACAGGGGTAGGGTAAATGAGGACAGAATAGCTGAGGTCAGACTGTGGAGCAGTTGAAAAGGTAGCAACACACCCAGCAGCTTTTTCAGTGTGGGGTTTGTATCACTGAGGAATGGGACAGTAGAGTGACATTTTAAAAGGCCTCTGGAAGAAAAGAAATAGTACACCTTGGTCTTATTTTAAGATGAATTATATGACAGCCACGTTGTTCTGGTTGAGCTAGAGAAGACTTATAGTGCTAAATCTTCACCTCTTGTACATGAAATTTGAATTTACTGGATCAGTTTCCCTACTTACATTGGATGGACAGTTTTTCAAGGCAGTCTAACAGTTTAAGGACTACTCATATCTATACTATGTGTTTCCTTTACAGGCTGTTCATTTAGAAGAAAGCAACACTGAGCACTTCAAGCATGTGTGTTTGGATCTGTGTTCCTGAAAGCCTTACCAGTTTGAAAATGCCTGTTCCTACAACAATGTAATTATGATTGATTTTGTAAAAATTACCTGCTATTGCTGACTAATCTGCTGGAATCTCTTTTTCAATAAATGATTTGAAGTGCAGGTTTTTCCTGTAAGTTTGCAGACAACTGAGCTCTATTTTTGTAATTCTACTTCCAAACAGTGGTAAAAGCCTTGGACTTGGCTGCATCCTTCCCCTTGTTAATCATCAACTACAGCAATGTAATGCATATAGTGACAGAATCTGCTTTAAGAATGCATTTTGTATATTTTATTACTGCAGCTGCCCTAACTGCAAGGGTTGTGGAAGCTG